GAGGATCTTTCGGCGACTCGGGGCCCCCTTGGACCTTCTTGGAGGCCTCCTGGGGCCCTCTCGGCCCGTTGTGGCTGTCCTTCCATGATGCGTTCGGGCTGGGCCTGGGGGATCCAGGCGGACCCCCCCCCGCCCTCCCGAGTCGACCGGACCGCCCGCTCGTGGCGGTCTGCGTCGAGGTATCGTAGCAAGCGGGAGTCTGATGGGGGGTGGCCGTCCTAGTTTTGGCACTCTGGCGTGTTGTGCGCCGAGCGGCGGGGCCGGCCGCCTATTGGCTGACCCGGGTTTGCGGAGACCTGCGCTGCGATTTTTTTTGTTTTTCTTGCGTTGCAGTTTTTGGTTTCCTGCTGACCCGGGTCTGGATTGACCCGGGTCAGAAGATCCCCGAGGGGAGCGCTCTGACCCCTGAGCCGCCCGCCCCGTCCTTGTTTTCCTTCTGTCGCGGCCTTCCTCCCTCTTCCTCTTGCATGGTGGCACACTTCGCTCCATCGGAACCGCAGTTTAACGATTTCATCGCCAGCGCAGCCACCCTCTGCCTAGCCGCCGACGCCAAAAGTGCTTCCGCGGGTGCATGCCCAAGCGGAACTCACCCGAGCGGACCACACAGAGCGTGGTAGACATTCGGACGAGGAGGGAACGGAGGAGAAGAGGATGAGGAGGACGTGCAGGGCGGGAGGAGGAGAAGGCAGAAGAAGAGAAGGAGGAGCATCCGCTTCAGAAGGTGGCGCTTATTTCTCAGGAAGAGGAGGGGACTGGATGAGGAAGCAATGGGAGGATGAGGAAAGGGATAAGCAAGAGGAGGGACGCTTAGGATGAGGAGGAGGAAGAGGAGGAGGAGGAGGAGATGGAGGAGAGGGAGGAGGAGAGATGCTAATCGTGGTTATGATGATGACGGTGACGTGACGATGACGACGATGACGACGATGCTGATGACGATGATGATGATGCTGCTAATGATGCTGACTAAATGCGGATCGTGCTTATGACTTATGATGTTGATGTTGATGGCGGTGGCGGTGGTGATGCTGATGATGCTGATGGTGTTGTTGCTGCTGCTGATGAGGATGATGGTGATGGTGGTGGTGATGATGATGAAGATGAGGCTGCTGCTGCAGTTGTTGCTGCTGCTGATGACCATGATGATGCTGATTCTGATGATGATGATGATGCTGATGGTGGTCATGATGATGATGCTGATGATGCTGATGGCGGTGATGATGCTGATGATGATGGTGATGACGATGATGATGATGATGATGATGATGATGATGATGATGATGATGATGATGATGATGATGATGATGATGATGATGATGAGGAGGATGATGATGATGATAAGGAACAAGAGGATTATGATGATGCTGACGTGGATGAGCAGGAGGAAAGGTGGTGAGAGTGATTGCGATGCTGACCAGAAGAAAGTGGGGAGAGAACGGAGGTGATGGGAGATAATGGGAGACCGGGATGGCAAGTACCATGGTGGGAAAGGGCGGAAAGACAACGTACGAGGAGAAGCAAGACGCAGTGAGCACAAAACAATTCTAGACGATTCGCGTATTCCCACCAGTGCCTACCGCTCCCTGTCCGCCGCCTCGGAGCCGCCGACCAAAAAGTATTCCCACCAGCCGCTTTAGGTTAATTCGTCTGTGCGCGCCCCGCTCTGACTGGACTCGCCGCTGGCGCGCTCGCCCGCGGCTGCTAACAAACAAGTATTCCCACCAGCGTGCCTCGCTTCCCTGGCCTCTGGTTTCCAGACACCGCCACAGCCTGGCCGTGTCTGCTGTTGCCGCCGGCATGGTGGGACGCAACTCTACTGGATTGCTCAGGAGTGCTTCAGCCTTCGTGGTCAGCCATGTGTGTTCGTCCCTGTTGGCCCGCAGCCTTGCACGCTGGACTGCATGCGCAGCCCCCGCTTCGCCACGTTCGGTGGCGCGTCTACCTCTGGCGCCTGGTGCGACAAGATTCAATTCGACCTCTTCCCGGTGATCTCGCCTCTGGGATGCCCGCACGCTGGCCGCCTGGCTGTCCTGGCAGCTTTCGCAGCCTGCCTTCAGCCCCCGGCGCCCCTCAGCCTCCCTCGGCGGCAGCTTCGGCAGCCGTGAGTGCGCTCGCTGGGCAATTAGGCTCGCCCGTAGCCCTGGTTGACCTCTGACGCCGCATGCGCCTTCGCTTGCGGCTGCGACGGAAAAAGTTCGCAGGCCTAGAGATTGACACCAGCACCAATTTCGGCGGTGTGCCTCCACCGAGGGAAGAAGATCCCGATCTCGGTAATGGTGGTAATATTCTGGCTTCCAAGTTGGCCGAACTATTACCACCAACGCCGAAAATCTAGGATCACCTTTCCCGTGTGGACGCAACCCCCTGTCTTGGTGTTGGTGCCAATTTCCAGGCCTCTAAAAAGTCTTCGCACCAGCCCATCCAGAAACGATGTCCGCTAGTTGAGGTGATCAGGGAAGTGCGGGAGCAAAGAGGCCGACGGCCGAACCGTGCGAAGGACGGAAGAGGAGAATAAGGAGGCTGGATATATGGATGAGGGATTTGGGAGAAGAGAAATGACACTGATGAGGGGGAGCAGGAGGAGGAGGAGGGCGAGCAAAAGGGCCAGAGGTCTCTTGGATGCCTCTCGGAGCCTCTTGGGAGCGCTTTTTGGTGGCCTCTTGGGGCGTCTTGGGGGTCTCTTGGCGGTCCCGGGAGGCTCTTGGGCGTCTTGGGTGCCTCGGGGGGGGCCTCTTTGAGCGTCTGGGGGCATCTTGGGTGCCCTGGGGGTCCTCTTGAAGCCTTTTGGGGGCCTCTTGGGGGTCTCTTGGGGCCGTCTGGGCGCCTCTTGGGGCCCTCTTGGGGCGCTCTTGGGAGCTTACGGGCCCTCTTGGAGCCATCTTGGAGGAGATCGATTGAACAAGAGGGGAACTCCAATTAGCGCCCCCCACAAACAAACAAAAACAACATTGTGCCAAATGATTTTGGCTTTCTTGCCGAAGTCGGTTTGGACGCTCCAATGGGTCGCGGAACCGCCCGTCTAGGTCCTGGGGAGATGGTAGGGGGATGGGTGAACCCTTCCCCGGAAAGGAAGGCAGAGGGTTGGAAGAGGAGGCTCCCTAGACCACCTACGCCCAGAGGGCTGGTGGGATTATCTGAAGGGGTTGAGGATGACGAAGACGGAGGGCGGAAAGGCCAAGAAGGGAACGAAGAGAAGAGCTTAGATGCAGCGCTGAAGCCGCCCAGGGCTCATACGGGCTGGCGCCCCTCGGGCTTCTCCTCCTCCTCCTCCTCCTCCTCCTCCTCCTCCTCCTCCTCCTCCTCCTCCTCCTCCTCTTACCTTTCCCAGGGAGCGTCACCGTGGACCTTCCTCCTCGTTATTCCTACTCCTCCCACCCTCCTGCTCTCCATGCCCCCTACTTCAACCTAACGTCGCCCTCCCTCTTCATCCCCCCCCTTCAGAAGAGAGACATTGCGAATCGGAGGTTCGGCAGGCCGTGGGTGGATTGAGAGAGGGAGGGGTGCGAGGAGGAGGAGGGAGGGGGGGGCGGAGGGAGGAGGAGTACGAAGAGGAGGATCATGGTAAGGGAGGGAAGGGGGAGGCGGAAGAGGAGGAGGAGGAGGAGGATCAGGAGGAGGAGGATGAGGAGGAGGATAATTCGTGAAGGGGAGCGACGCGAAGGAGCGAAAGGGTAGGGGAGGGAGGAGGATTATGTAGAGGAGAAGAGGGGGTGGATAGGGGATGATGAAGAGCAGCGAGGGGTGAGAATTGCAACAATGTGAGGAGGGAGGTGGAGGGCGAGCGGGGAGGGGAGGGAGGGAGGAGGAGGGAGAGAACGAGTCGCGGGAAAGGGGGGGAGGCGGGGACAGGCCGAGCCGGAGAACCTTCAGGGAGGGCGCGGAGCGAGAGGAGGGCCGAGGAGGACCAGAGCAAGCCAGGCTCACGTCACCCATGCTGCAGTACACCCTCCCACTCCTGGGCGCTCGCCCTTGCTCAGGGGACAACGTGCACTCCCAGACGTGACCGTGTCGTCAATCAATCAGGGCGGGAGGTTCTGGGCCGTTTTCGGCCTCGGGAGGCCCTCGCCGGGCCTCGGGGCTGTCAGAAAACGGCTCAGGACGACAAGCTGGGCCCGGGGAAAGGGTCGGGACTTTCAGGGTCGCCGTCCTGAAAGGAGCAGGGGACGTCGCATGTCTGGGGTTCCCTCGTGTGCAGCGAGTGCCCGCCAGAGTGTTGAGGGGTTTCCGTTGGGCCTGCCGGGGACGGCTCGAGAGTGGGTGAGTTCCCCGTGGCCCTGCCACCTGAGGCCTGCGGAACCCGGGAAAAGCCCTGCCACGGGGAGCGGCAGGGCCGGAGTCGCGCGAATCTTAGAGCTGCTGCGGTCCGAGTCGAAGACCGAGTGGAAATTGGGTTAGAGACTGCTCCACACGGCCACGGCACGAGGAGGGAATGGCCCCCCCTCCGTGCTGACAGCCGGCGTGTGCTCGAGATGCCGAGGCGGTGCTCCTCCAGGAGCCCTTGCGACCCATGCAATCGAGATTGACCAGTAGGTCGACCCTGCCAAGTCAAGGGTACCCTTGTGTCCTGTGTTTCGCGACCCACTTCCACGTTCCTACGGCGATGCAGTCCTCGGGAGGTTCTTGTGTCCTCTTGCTGCGTTTCCTGTCCCAGCACCCCCAAGCGTACATCCGACGACGCGTTCTTCTTCACGACGTGGCTCTCTGGAGGTCTGCACACCTTCCAGGGGACCAGCTGCCCCGACACGCTCCCTGCCGCCCCCTGGGGCCCCGCGGGGGCCCCAGGAAGCCGAGGGATTGCCAAACTTGTCCCCGTCGTGTTTGTTTTTGCTTCCCCCCCTCCCCCTCGTCCAGGAGTTCCGTAGTGAGGGTTGCCCTTCCCGGGTTAAGTCGGGCGTGCCTCTCTCCAGGAGGAATGTTCAAACATAGTAAAACATACTATAGGGATTATCCCGGCAAAGCAACCTAACAGCGATGTGTAGAAGCATATTTGGAAGCATTCCCCTTAAGATTCTGGTGAGAATCCAAATGTAGAATTCTGCTGTTCTCCAGTTGCAGTCGCATTCGCAAGGACAGTCACAGTGGCAACGGCCTTAGGATCCAATGGAATCCTAAGCCACAGTCTCAGTCTCAGCCTGTCTCGGCCTGAGCCTGCCTCGGCCTCAGCCTCAGCCTGCCTCAGCCTCAGCCTCAGCCTGCCTCAGCCTCAGCCTGCCTCAGCCTCAGCCTCAGCCTCAGCCTCAGCCTGCCTCGGCTTGCCTCGGCCTCAGCCTCAGCCTGCCTCGGCCTCAGCCTCAGCCTGCCTCGGCCTCAGCCTCAGCATGCCTCAGCCTCAGCCTGCATCAGGCTCAGCCTCAGCCTGCCTCAGCCGCAGCTTGCCTCAGCCTCAACCACAGCCTCAGCCTCAGCCTCAGCCTGCCTCAGCTTCAGTCTCAGCCTCAGCCTGCCTCGGCTGGCCTCAGCCTCAGCCTCAGCCTGCCTCGGCCTCAGCCTCAGCCTCAGCATGCCTCAGCCTCAGCGTCAGCCTCTCAGCCCCAGCCTGCATCAGCCTCAGCCTCAGCCTCAGCCTGCCTCAGCCTCAGTCTCAGCCTGCCTCAGCCTCAGCCTGCCTCAGCCTGCCTCAGCCTCAGCCTGCGTCAGCCTCAGCCTCAGCCTGCCTCAGCCTCAGCCTGCCTCAGCCTCAGCCTCAGCCTGCCGAGGCCTCAGCCCTCAGCAGCAGTTCAGCATCGCCCAGCCTGCAGTAGGCTCAGCCTCAAGCCCTCCTCAGCCGCAGCTTGCCTCAGCCCTCAACCACAGCCTCAGCCTCAGCCTCAGCGCACTCAGGCTTCAGTCTCAGCCTCAGCCTGGCCGGCTGGCCTCCAGCCTCTCATGCCTTCAGCCTGGGCTCGGCCTCAGCCTGCCCAGCTCAGCATGCCTCAGCCTCAGCGTCAGCCTCTCAGCCCCACCGCCACCTCAGCCTCAGCCTCAGCCTGCCTCAGCCTCAGTCTCAGCCTGCCTCAGCCTCAGCCTGCCTCAGCCTCAGCCTCAGCCTGCCTCGGCCTCAGCCTGCGTCAGCATCAGCCTCAGCCTGCCTCAGCCTCAGCCTGCCTCAGCCTCAGCCTCAGCCTGCCTCGGCGTGCCTCAGCCTCAGCCTCAGCCTGCCTCGGCCTCAGCCTGCCTCAGCCTCAGCCTGCCTCAGCTCGGGCATTTAAAATATGGCACAGTACTGGTGTTCTGGGAACACGAAGATCACGAAGTGGCCAACAGTTGGCTCCGGGCAGTCAAGATATGATACAGGAATGGTGTTCTGGGAACACGAAGAACACGAAGTGGCCTACAGTTGGCTCGGGGCATTCAACATGTGGCCTGGGAATGGTGTTCTGGGAAGACGAAGAACACGAAGTGGCCTACAGTTGGCTCCAGGCATTCAAAATGTTGCCTGGGACTGGTGTTCTGGGAACAGAATCTGTAGGAACCCATAGGAAACTATAGGAATCTATAGGCGTCCTGGGGAGTCCCCGGATTCCCCGGATTCCCCCGGCATCCGCCCAGACCCCCTTGGGGAGTCAAGATGCTCTCTTTTGACCCCACTAGAAACCTATCAGTCTTCGCTGTTAGGTAACTATTGTGTGAGTATGTTTTTGACCATTTGGGTGTATTTTTGGATTTTTTTTAATATTTCGTCCAAAATTCCCTGTAGGGGGAGACGCCCGACCTGATTCTGGGGGCAGTGCGCCCTCTGGGCGAGAGCACGGGGCTCGCGTCCAGAGGCGACCGGCGCTCCAACGCATAGTGCCCCCCTCCGGAGCCCGTGGAGCTTTGCGTGCCCGAGCGCTGCTTCGGCACCGGGGCTCCATGGGTGATGGCTTGCTGGCCTGCTCGTCCAGGGGGCCTTTTAATCTCAGGTCGATCGGGGTTAGATTACTGCCTAAAAGCATGTGGGCGGGATCGGCTGTCCAGTGTCATCTTGGCAGGTGTTGCCGTTTTTTTGCATTAACTCGACCTGCAGATGAGCTACAGAGCTGTTCGGCACAGCAATCGAAGGGGAATCATTAGAAGCGCTAGTCAAGTACCTAGATGCCCGAACTTGGTCTGCTACCAGAGCTGGGCCCCTTGAGAGGGGGGGCCTCGCGAGGCCCCGCCGGGGGCCCGGCCGCCAGGCAAGTTCTCGTGCCCGGCCGACTGCTACTACTGCCCCGACGAGCCGGGGCAGCCCCGGTCCTACTTGTCCACGGAGCCGGGCCAGCTCGCTCCGCGGGGGGAGGAGTGTTTTTGTTTATCCCCTGGGCCATCACGCGCGTGATGTCCCCTTCCCCCCCCCCCCCCCAAAGAACGTAACGCTCCCCCCCATCAGTGCGTCGCCAGCACTGCCGCAGTGCGTCCGGCACCACAGTCTTGGGGGGGGCAGGGCGCTGCGTTATGCCCCTCCCGCCCCCTCCCCCCGCCCTTCGCCCCTCATCACGCCCCGCCCGTTATGACCGCGAATAGTAAATGAGCTCGAGGGAGGGAGTCGGAGGCGGAACCGGTACCGATACTGCGACCCTTCCGTCGATTCCTCCTTTTTGGGCCTCCTGGGAGGCCCTCGCCGCCACCACTGGATTCGAGTCGAAATTTCGTTCAGAACGCACCCGGGAGAGGTCCAGGGAGCAGCGACGTCGGTACCTTTTTGTTTCTCCAGGGATGGGCGGGATGGGAGGGATGAGGTGGATCCATGCTCTTAGGCTGAGGTCGGGCATGTCCTCCTACAGGCGGACGTTGGACGAACAAGAAGACCTACTCAGCAACTATTCAAACATGGCCACACATAATATAAACATCGTTCCCCGACCATTTCTGGACTACAGTCGGGGCCCTGAAGAAGGAACCCTTTTCGTTGGGGAGGGGCTCCGTGTTCCTTGATTGCTCTACAGCTTGCCTTCTGTTTTCCGGAGGTTTTCCATGGGAAATCGAAGTTCAACTTATGGGAGAAAAGGGGTCCCGTTCCTCATTTCGGGTTCCTTGGGCCAACGCCCCGACTGTATTTTTGAATACTCCTCCTGTGGAGGGACGCGCCCGACTTGACCTCTGGCGGGCCCTGAGACCTCGGCGCGGCATTGCTTCCAACGCCCCGCGGTTTTTCGCCCCGTTTCGGGCCCCGGGGCCCTCGCGGATCGATCTGGCTCCAGAAGTGCGGCAATTTGAGGAGGAGCAGGAGGAGGAGGAAGAGGGGAGATGAGGAAGAAAAAGAAGGAGAAGGAGGAGGCGGAGGAGGAGGGGAAGTGGGGGGAGGAGGAGGAAAAGGAGGAGGCGAAGGAGGAGGAGGAGGAGGAGGAGGAGGAGGAGGAGGAGGAGGAGGAGGAGGAGGAGGAGAGGAGTAGGAGGAGGAGGAGGAGGAGGAGGAGGAGGAGAGCGAGGAGAGTTAGGAGGAGAAGAAGGAGGAGGAGAAGCAAGAAAGAGGTGAAGGAGGAGGTTGTGTCTGGGGGTCCGGTCAGGATTTCTGGCAGTGTTGCCTCCTCCTCCGTGAGAGGTGGGGGGGAAGAGGGAGGAATTTCACCAGCCTCGAGCGTATCCCTATCCCTAAGATTGACACGCCAGAAGGCGATGACAATCTTAGGGATGCCCCCTAAAAATAAGGGAAACCCTAAGATTGGCATCGTGATGAGGAGGTGCCCAGCATAGGGATAGGGATATGTTCTAGGCTGGTAAGAACTCCCTACTCGAGAGCTCGACAACTCTTCGCCAAGTCGACCTGCGGAGTTCGGGCTGGACGCATCCGGGGAGTTTGCGCAGTTCGATGCAGCTCCAGACAGCACGGCACACATCGAGAGCCGTCCAGCTGAATATGTAGACGTCGGGGGGAAACTCCAACGTGGGTCGACGGATAGCCGAAGGGGGGGATGGAGGGATGGGAGGGTCGAAGAATAACAACAGCAGCGAAAACATAATTTGTTATAATCCGCGCGGATTCCTTGGATCGGCGTTGGACCCCCGTCCCTGACGCGAGAAGCGCGGCGGCGAAGGCGCCGCCAGGAGGGTCCATCGCCCATCCGAGAAATCCGCGCAGACCTCCAAACGTTTCTGCTTTCTCTGCTGTTGCCCCTCCAGACCCAGAGCCCCGACGTCATGTTTTTGTCACAACGTCGACCCCCAGAGGTCTCGACCCATTCCCCAGGACCGTTTTTTTTTTGCTTTGTTCTGAATCGTTTTCTGACGGTTCCGAGGCCTGGCGAGGGCTCCAGGAGGCCGAGTACGGCCCAAAGCCCTCCGTTCCAATTTTTTCGGGGCGTCGGATCTCTGGGGAGGGGCAAGGCAGAGATGGAGGTGGTCTAGGCCTCCCAGATGGGGTCCGAGTAGATGGGGTGGAGGATCGCGCCGCATCGCCGATGCATCACTGATGCATCGGCGATGCGGCTCGATTTGGAGCCCGATGTTCTCCGTGCCGACGCCGCCGATGCATCGCCGAGACGTCGCCGCTGCATCGCGGATGCATCGATGATGCATCGACGATGCGGCGCGATCATACGACCCCATCCGCTCGGTCCCCACTTGGGAGGCCTCTACTCAAAATCCCTTGTGAGTCGTCCCCCGGGTCCTGTTCTTAAGGCGTCTTTCCTTGTAACTGGAGGGGTCTGCTTTATTAGGGCGCTTTCTTTGGAATGGAGCTTAGGGGGTCCAGCTTATTAAGGCGCCCCGTCGAAGAGGGGGGTCCAGAATGTTAGGTCGCATTTGGAGGGAGGGTCCGGTTTTTTAGGGGGGGGTCGATTAATACGGGATTTGGAGCAGGGTGGGGGGGTGGATTGAGGCTTTTGGGCGGCTGTGGCCCCTCCCTGCCCGCAGGCCGCTGGATGCCTTCGCGAGGCCTCCGGAGGCCCTCCTGGGAGACCTCGGCCACGGCCTCTTCCCGAGACCTCGAGCTAGTCCTCCGGGGAGGAGGAAGAGAGAGAGGGGAAGGGAAGGAGGGAGGGAGACAGGGCGGGAGGAAAGGAGGAGGAAGGGTACTCATACTGCTACCCCTACCCCTGTTTTCCCCCGTGTGACCCTCCTGGGAGGCCTTCGTCGCCACCGCTGGATTTGCCTCAGAATTTTGGTCAGAACGCACCCTGGGAGAGGTTTGGGGAGTGGCGGTATCGGTACATTTAGGCTTCCCCAGAGGAAGGGAGGAGGACTGGCGGGAGGAGGAGGACGCGGAGGAGGAGGAGGAGGAGGAGGAGGAGGAGGAGGAGGAGGAGGAGGAGGAGGAGGACCAGCAGGACGATGAGGGCGAAGAGGAGGACGAGGAGGACGAGGAGGGGGAGGGAGAGGGGAGGCACGGTGGGCATCCTCGAGGGTCGCTCGCCTTCCCCTTCTCTTCCCTCGCCCCTCGAGGAGCCAGCGGTGGCGAGGGCCAACCAGAACGAGTTCTGCCCGGTGAG